TCGAATTAATTTGATGGCCTGCTCCCAGTTGGCTTGTTAGCTCAATTGGTAGAGCGCTGCACTAGTATCGCAGAGGTCAGTGGTTCGAATCCCGTACAGGCCTGAAATTTTTTTTTTTTCAGGTCTGATTTTCACTATTGCTCAAATAGTGCTTTACTGCGAAGGATCGTTCTCATATACGTCTCATAACCGCAGTTCACACATATGTTTCATATGTTTGTTGTTGTTTGATTTATCATCTACGGGTTTATATCGAATTAATTTGATGGCCTGCTCCCAGTTGGCTTGTTAGCTCAATTGGTAGAGCGCTGCACTAGTATCGCAGAGGTCAGTGGTTCGAATCCCGTACAGGCCTGAAATTTTTTTTTTTTCAGGTCTGATTTTCACTATTGCTCAAATAGTGCTTTACTGCGAAGGATCGTTCTCATATACATACTATGCTATTGCTTAAAAGTATTCGACACTGAGTTGGGCTTCAGGATGGGGTTAATAATCCTGCGATACACAGGTCGTGTTCGCAGTCTAACCTTGTTAAAGCGCTAAAAGGCCGTTATTTGTCTTATCATGTAGCTCTTGAGTGGACTCGCAATATATCAGAATGTTAAGAATTACAAGACTGAGCGGGCCGAGGATGCTGATGCACTGAAGACATTGCCAATATCTAATGAATACAAAGAAGGTGTGCAAAGCATGTTTGTTAACTGGATGTACACAGAGAGCATCAACTGCTCCTTTACAATATTTAGGAGCACTCACCGATGCGGGTTTTATTCTCGATGCTAAGAGATCATAAAATAGCCCATAGCAGAAACGCGAGAGGACTGGGACGAGTTTCTTATATTGATTACAGTGAAAATCTGAACATTTCAACTGAAATGTTACTGAATGAAAAGCTACCCAGTCAAGTTTGAGAGTTTTCAGCGGAAAAGTGTCCAAATCGGAGCCTTGCAAATGTTGAAGAGCTGTCATTTTGCAATTTTCCTCCTCTAAATACTTCTATTCTTGCTTAAGACTCTCAAATTTAGTTGATCTTTCATTTGAATATCTTAGTTTTTCAAACAAACAGAAAACAACCTCACTCTTTCCCAGTCCTCTCACGTTTCTGCAATGGGCTATTCGAAAAAAAAAATAGTTTCTCAAAACGAACTCTGTTGGGCAATAAACAACGTAAATGAGCCGCTTAACTCTTGAAAAAGACCTCTTCCAGTCTGACGTGATCCAAAAATATAATATGACAGCTATTTTTGAATATCTGAAATGTGGCCAACTAATGAGAGGTCTTGGTAACTATAAATTTTCAAAAACCTCTTTAGGCTCGCGAATAGAATCCGCGTCTTTCTTCACTAGTCTTCTGATATCCCTCCACCAATTTGCAAGTAAGAACTTCTTCTACTCGCTGCCTTGAAAGGGCCTTAGTGAACGCTATTTAATTTAAATTTCAAGCTATTTTATTGCCTTTCTTTACAGCTGTACTCAAATTGAGTGTGGTTGCCATCGCATTTACTGTCGTTACAGTGTTAGTCAATGTCTCGCTGTTGATTTCCTACTTCACGGTAAGACAACTATTGCGCAATGTCGCTTCTTCATTTTGTGGCATCTTGTTTATTTCTTCGGGCGACAGTGAGTAACAGATAGGTACAATCTTTTTTTTTTTATTTCCTAATGTACGTTATAGGAACTGACATGTTATCTCGTTATTTTGCCCACATTCAGAATGCACTTTACAGGAACAGATATTTACCTTGTTTTGTTTTGTCTTTTGTTTTTTTTAACCACCAGTTGAACAGATATCTGGCATATCCTTGGTTTTTCTGGCAAATCTTTTCGCTTTGCTACAACTTAGGTGTGGCCATTTTTCTCATCACTATTTGGGACGGGGTAAGTCTTTCATAAATATGCTTTTTGCCAATCGTTTAACTAGATTACCAAAGACGGTAAATTTTAAACTCGCTAATGAGTTCGAGGGGAGGCCGCCATTCGTATAATGAAATAGACGACGACATTTCTTTGTCTTCTTAAGAGCTTAATTAGCATAAAGCGGAAACTTGATAACTTAAAGAATTTGCAAGCTGATATTATCGTCCTAAAGACTTTTGTTCTAACTTACATACTAAAATATATTTTTTCCTCGTCAATTTCTTCATAGTTCACGTATATTTTTGTTCTTGAGATCTTGGTATGGCTGTTAATGGTGAGTTTTACTTCTACACTCTGATTTAGCTTTAATTCCAGAATCCAGAAGAGTTTAAAGGAAATGACAATCCCCGTTATAGTGTTTTACCTCTGCAAACGAATTTAGCTTTAATTCCAGAATCTAGAAGAGTTTAAAGAAAATTACACTCCCCGTTAGTATTCTGTTCCAGAGTTCTAGCTGTGATATATGTTCCGTTTCATTAGTTCACTCCGTCTTGCCTCGCCCGTTCCTTCCTTTGTTTAGACAGTCATTCGTTCATTCAGTAAGTCAGCCAGTCTGTAAGTCAGTCATTCAGTCAGTTTATCAATCAGTCATTCGCTCGTTAATTTAGTTAGTCATTTAGTCAGGCAGTCAGCAGTCAATCTTTCAGTCAGTCAATCAATCATCAGTCATTTAGTCAGGCGGTCAATCCATCAGTCAGTCAATCAGGAACTCAATCATTTAGTCAAGCAATCAACCTGTCAGTCATTGAGTCGGTCAGTCCGTTAGTTGGCCCAGTCAGTAAGTCTACCCCTCAGTCAGTCAATCAGTCAGTCGGTCAGTCACTATCTCCTTTGTAAATGGTCAGTTCTATGAAACAACTACTTTGGTCCAACATGGATCTAGTTGTGTTGCGAAATTTGTTTTAGAATATATCTTTTAATTCAAGTTATATTCATCTTATATTTGTTTTTATTAAAACTGGATCATTGGATAATGTAATTCAAGACTTTTTATTGGCTTAGCCATTATGGTATATCAGCCAATATACCATAATCTACAAATATGGTAAGCGTACGCGTCAGCTTAAAATCAAAAGGGAGCTAAAAAATCCAGTTCCTTCTTACAAAATAATAATTTCTTGAGGGCGTTTTTAATAAAACAATTATTCCACTCGCGCTTGTTGGATATGAGATGATTATAGCCAACTCGGCGCTACGCGCCTCGTTGGCTATCTATCATCTCATATCCAACGCGCGCTCGTGGAATAATTGTTAAATATTTTTTTCATTCTCATTACCCTATTTGAAGTTGTTCATTTGTGGTTGTAAATTGTCTACCATTGTAAATAGTTGCTGAAAAGCCTGTACAGGAGTAATTATTAAAGTTCATTCATTCATTCATTCATTCATAATGTAAAATATACAAGAATTTATAAAGATAACGAGGCTGAAAATTAACTAAAACAGTTGTGCAAGACTTAAAACTTCGTATCCTCAGAAAACAGAACTGTAGCTTCCCGCGATTCAGGGTCGGTTGCATTCTCTGGACTTTCAGAGTCTTCAGCAAATGTCTGGTGAGTTATGCCAACTTCCGTTTCTTTAATTTCCCCAAGGGCTGTTGCCGCTGATCCACACAGTGCTGACGCGTCTATCTCGGACACAGTTCCTTTTGCCACTTTTGTTTTCTTCTGGCGGGACATCCAGTGGTATGTGCCCGCGACTAGCACTAAGATGGCGAAATAGGAGATAACCAACCCGACTATAGTAGTGGATTTCTTTTCGGGCTGGGCTGTAGTAGTGGCGTTACCTATTTTTAGAGTTAGAAAAAAACTGAGGTGTTAAGAAAATAAATTTAGTGGGAAAGCCTTTTAAAGGCGAACTAGTTCTTGTTTTCTTGGTAGCTTTGCTCTTTTGAGAAATGCAGAAAG